AAAAAAAAAAAAAAACAAGCCCACCCTGAGGACTGCTCAGAAGGAAAGACAGCAGCTTGTGCCTTAAAAGGAATTCCTTTCATGGGAGTTGTTCATACATATTCACAAAATACTGGTGAGGTCAGGTATGCAGAGGCGGACCTGTGATTGGCGCATGCACTCAGCATGCGCTAACGCACATCACATGTATCATTAACATATAAAATCTCCACCTAGGGGTGTGTTTTTTACGATTAAAATGAGGAAAATGTTGCTATAAGCTAAACCTTGAGCCTAGGTGTGTATGCGGGACCCCGAGAAGTCCTTAGCTTCCTCCAAGGCAGGACTTTGTAGCTAATAGCTTCCAGGGCTTTTGCTGATTGACTGGAGATTGGGGAAGCTACATTATGAATAAGGGGATTTTGTTTTCTTTCCTGGGCTGTTCTAGGTATCAGGGAACTTGTAGCCATCTGGTATCCCCCAGGACTGCTATCTTGAAAAAGAGTTAGGTGCTCAGCCGGGTACAGTGGCTCATGCCTGTAATCCCAGCACCTGGGGAGACTGAGGCTGATGGATTACCTGAGGTCAGGAGAGACCAGACTGGCCAACACGGTGAAACTCCACCTCTACTAAAAAAATACAAAAATTAAAAATTAGCCAGGCGTGGTGGTGCACACCTATAGTCCCAGCTACTTGGGAGGCTGAAGCAGGAGAATCGCTGAACCTGGGAGGCAGAGGTTGCAGTGAGCTGAGATCATGCCATTGCACTCCAGCCTGGGTGACAGAGCAAGACTCCATCTCGAAATAAATAAATAAAAATAAAGAGTTAGGTGCTGATGCACGAGTGCACAAGTGATGCAGAGCTACTGTGAAAGGAGCCCTGGGGCTTCACACAAGGGGACAAGTCAGTATGGCCTGCTCACCTCACTGTCCTTCCTCAGTATCTCCACCTGCATAACCCCGCCAGTGAGGAAACTGAGGTTCAGAGAGCTTAAATAATTTGCCAAAGGTCACAGGTGGATAGCAGAACTGAGTTCCAGCCGCCTTGCCTGCCTGAGTGCTCAAATTCTCCCTTTAGATGAAAGATACCAGGACGTTCCCACAAGAGCTCAACCTAGTGAAACAGGTAACACGAATAAATGTGACCAAAACTAGTGCCATTGATTTGAGCACCTCCTGGGTGCAGTGAGTGCAGGGCATCTTTTTCTGCACCGTCTGCTCTGGTCCATGGCAAGTAGGGTGAGGATCCACAGAGGTTTCAGCGGGGTTCTGATCATCTACTCTTTGAGGCTCAATCTTAGTTGCCCCAATTTTACAGATTTGGAAAGAGAGGCTCTGAGAGGTCAAGTGTGTTTTAGGGGACTGCTTGGGCCACTCCCTTCTTGTTCCCAATCTTGCTCTGTCGCCCAGGCTGGAGCGCAGTGGCGTGATCTCGGTTCACTGAAACCTCTGTCTCCTGGGCTCAATCAATTCTCCTGCCTCAGCCTCCCAGGTGTGGTGTGCACCACCACACCTGGTTAATTTTTTGTATTTTTGGTAGAGACATATTGCCCAGGCTGTCTCAAACTCCTGACCTCAAGTGACCCACCTGCCTCAGCCCCACAAATTTCTGGGATTACAGGCGTGAGCCACTGCGTCCGGCCAAATGTTTTGTTTTGATAGCAAGGCAGGAAGTGTAAGGTTCAGAACTCCAAGTGGCAGGTGCGGCAAAAGAGTGATTCAACCTCACTCCTTTCACTTTCTACTTGAGACTGTTAAGGCATAAGCAGATGTCTCCCACGTGGTCTCTCAGCCCTTACAGCCTGTGAACTTCACAGTCTGACTGGAACAGGAGACTGTCCTGCCAAGGAAGGACGGGCACAAAAGAGGTTGTCCTGTGGCAGGGAGGATGTGTCTTCCTTCCATTCTGAGATGATGGACGGGGCTGACACCCACAGGCGCCACGTCCCTTTCTGCTCAGGACTCCTGTCATTTTTAACAGATATAGCGTAAAGTGGCTGGGCGCAATGGCCTGTAATCCCAGCACTTTGAGAGGCCAAGGCAGGTGGATCACCTGAGGTCAAGATCAGCCTGACCAACATGGAGAAACC